AAGCTTTAATAGAATTATAAGAAATGAAATTAATTCAAATTATAAATCTACTCTTGGAATTACTCCAAATTATAAAGAAAAACATTTAATTTCGTCCAATTTACGTAAGTAATATTAGAAATGATGATAGTCGTTTATGATCATTGTAATTATAACGCCATCATATTTTACTTTTATTTTTTTTTTTTGAAATAGAGACTGAACCTATTGATTTAAATACCTTAACCGACGGAGTCTTAAGTAGTAGAATTCTTTTAAGTGCACAATATTTCTTCACTAACGTAGAGACTGAACAAAGGTATGGATCATTTCCGATAACGTGCGCAAAATTACAAGTTTGTTACGACTCATTTATTAACACATTCTTTACCTTACATTTTAGAACACGAACTGTAAGGATAATTTTGATAAGTTTGTTTAAAGTTGAAGTGCATTTTTAAACCTTTATTCCATTTTAAATAGGTATTCAGCATAGTTGGTCTCGTGGGTGGTGCTTACGGTGTAGCTGCGGCATTATATGTGGTTTTATTTGGTAACAAATTTATAATTGATTTCTTTTAAATTCAAAATTATAATCCATCATTGACTTTAATTATCGTAAACAGGAACAAATGTGATCCGTCCTTGGGGTTGTGTGCAACATAGTTGTGGATTACGCAACAAAACGCAAAATAAACTTCGAAAAGAACTTCCGATAATCCCACTAATTAACAGTAATCCTGGAATATTAAATACTTCACGAGAAATTTCTCGTGAAGAACATATAGCGTTACAACGTCGTGTTCATTCCTTAGAAGTTTTCTTGAGAGAATATGTAGTAGACATTAAATACTTGAACGAATTGAAAGAAGATGGTGCAACGAGGGAAGATGAGGGAAACGATATGCTTCCTGTCAATGTTAATTATAATCATTACAATAACAACAACGTCGCGTCACCTTACGGCATATCGACATATAACGTACACAACTAATATCCGCAACTCAATTTTTCGGTTCATGTAACATTGAAATTTAAAATCGACCCGGAGACCCGGAGTTTATTAATGATTATTTTTTATTAATAAAAAAGTTTATATATAGATATTATGCCATCTGATTGGTCAATCTTTAAGGGACAAGGCCGTGACAAAGTAAATTTTCAGATTCTGTGACCTCGGTCGTGTCAGTTTACGAAAATTCGGGATTTTTTTTTTTATAGTAAAATTTTATCATGTGATCTTACCTAATAAAATAACCCATCAAAAAAAGCTCTGACACGTGACATCTGACCAAAAATACTTACCCCCACCCTAACTAACCCTAACTCTAACCCTAACTAATTCTAACCGTACGTCTTGCCTTAAATTCCGAATTAGATAAACAAGTGATGCAATTAAATTTCTACTCATTACCCAATCATACCGATTTGAACATTGTTCCCATCAAAAAAAAAAAAGAAATTTATTATGTTGAACTTTAACAATAGATTAATTTGGTACTAAGGATCGAACGGAGACTATCAATATTAATTAAAATATTACTGTTATTTCGAGTAATGCATTTCGTGTAGATATTATTTCCATTTATAGAATTGAATATAGAATGTAACGCAGCATTTGAAGAATAAAAAAAGAAATTCTCGATGCCTATAAGATATACAGGATTTTTGAAGTTACGCATAAAATAAAAAACTTTTTAAACCAAAAAAAATAAAAATATTTTTATATCTAACCATTTGTCACCAAAAAAAAAAATTTTTTTTACTTGCATTTGTCGAACCTTATTCAATCATCATATCATATAAAACCTTACTCTCCTTTTTTCTCTTTCCACAATTCCTATTTACATGTTGATTTCCTTTATATCACATTGTTGAAATTATTATTCCAACGTTAAAACGACCAAAGTTACGACAAATCATCTTATTTACACATTCGGTATTAATTAAAAATGCCCGCCTCTCCGCCTCTTTCAGCGCTTTTCTCATAGCTGTCTTCGTGGCATTCCAGGTAAATCAAATTCCATTTTTTTCCTCCTTCCGCCAATAATTTTTTGAAAAAATTATTGACCGATTATGAAATTCAGGCCGTT